TGGGATGGGAGTGTCAGAGACAGTGCAATTGGCACAGGACAGAGCAGAGTTTAGGGCTGTTGTACATAGGGTCGCTATGAGTCGCAGGCGTCTTGACGGCACATAACAACAACAACCACCTTTAATATCTCAGTGAGATATTGTATTTACCCATTATACAGATAAGGCATTTGAGATTTAAAGAGGTTAAGTCTCTCTTTATCGCACAGCCAGTAAAAGGCAGAGCAGAGGTTGTAGTACAGATATTTCTGTTTCTAAGCACACTCTCACTACTAAGATGTGGGTGGCAGCCAGCTCAAGATGTGAAGTAGATGGGGGACTAGAGGCCCTAGATAGGCATTTAGGGTCTGTGATTACTGTATTAGGAAAACAAGGTGTATTTCTCTAGAGGCCAGGTAGTGTAACCCACTGCCGAAGTGGAAAGGATAATCTTGGACCCAAAGGACTCTATAGTCCTTGATAGCAGTGGGCCAGGAAACCAAGCTCAGAGTGACTAGTTTACAGAACAGAGGCAGGCGGGCCAGGCAGTCTGACTCAGGCAATTCTGGGTCATCTGCTATAAAGATATATAATTTCTAATCTATAAAATATATAGGTAATGAATGGAAATCCAAATTCTCTGTAAATGTTCATTAAAATTATTAAAAAAGAAAGAAATTTTTTAAAAAAGGAAAAAAATATATAGGTAAAATTAAGATGAGAGTTCCCCAAAACAGTGACTTTTACTCTGCATTTCAACATGTATTTTGTATTTTTAAAATTAAAAAAAATCCCTTTATTATTAAAATAAAACCCTCTAAAAACTGATGTACAGCTCAATTAATTAGTACAAAGCAAACAACAGAACCTCCCCCACATGAAACGTTCCGAACCAAGAGCACTTCCTGCCAAGCCCTCCTTTCCTCTCCATGCACGGTTGCACCGTCATGAATTCTGTCAGTGGCCATCATCTGTTCCTTTCCTTTGCCATTTCATTGTCTAGGATGCGTCCATAAATACACAGTCTAGCTTTTCCTGCTTTTTTGTTGTTGTTGTTAAGTGTTTTGGGGCTTTTTTACCTGTTTTCTT